AAGGTAGGATTCTGGGCTTTAGTAATCCTTTGAGATTCTGGGCTTTAGTAATGCTTTGAGATTCTGGGCTTGTCATGCAATATATTTGCTGATGCTTTACAGATATCTATTGCTAATCAAGAAACTATGAGGCAAATTTATTAAAGGCAAATAGACAGTGTACTTTTCACTTTGCAAGGGAATGTTCCTTTAGCTTAGTGGATATGATGAAACTTGCCTTTGCAAAGAAACATACAAGGAAAAAAAACCCAGTATTTTTGCTTTCACGTTTGGATGCTGAAAGACAGTGTTCATGGGCACAGGAAGCAAAGAGAAATCTCCCCAGCGTGGACCTAGACATTAAAAAAAACCCAAGAAATGCAAGGCAAAATATATATATATATATATATATATATACATACAGTTGCAAGAAAAAGTATGTGAACCCCTTGGGATTACGTGGAGTTTTGCATGAATTGGGCATTAAATGTGCTCTGAACGTCATCTAAGTCACAACAATAGAAGAAAACACAGTCTGCTGAACATAATACTACACAAACATTAGAAGTTGCCATGGTTTAATTGCACATAACATGTAAACATTCACAGTGCAGGGAGGAAAAAGTATGTGAATCTTTGGACTTAATAACTGGTTGACCCTCCTTTGGCAGCAATAACCTCAACCAAACGTTTCCTGTAGTTGCAGATCAGACCTGCACAATGATCTGAAGTAATTTTGGACCACTCCTCTTCACAAAACTGTTTCAGTGTAGCAATATTCTTGGGATGTCTGGTGTGAATCGCTCTCTTAAGGTCATGCCACAGCATTTCAATCGGGTTGAGGTCAGGACTCTGAGCCACTCCAGAAGGCGTATTCTGTGCTGTTGCAGCCATTGTTTTGTTGGATTACTTGTATGCTTTGGGTCATTGTCCTGTTGCATCACCCATCCTCTGCGGAGCTTCAGTTGGTGGACAGATGGTCGTACGTTTTCCTGCAAAATGTTTTGATAAACTCTGGAATTCATTTTCCCATCAATGACAACAATCCGTCCAGGCCCTGAGGCAGCAAAGCAGCCCCAAACCATGATGCTCCCTCCGCCATGTTTTACAGTGGGGATGAGGTTTTGATGTTGGTGTGCTGTGCCTTTTTTTCTCCACACATAGTGTTGTGTGTTCTTCCCAAACAACTCAGTCTTGGTTTCATCTGTCCACAATATATTTTTGCCAGTAGTGCTGTGGAACATCCAGGTGCTCTTTTGCAAACTTCAAACGTGCTGCAATATTCTTTTTAGACAGCAATGGCTTCCTCTGTGGTGTCCTCCCATGTACTCCATTCTTGTTTAATGTTTTCCTTACTGTAGATGTGTCAACAAAAATGTTAGCATGCGCCAGAGATTTCTGTAGGTCTTTAGCTGACACTCTGGGATTCTTCTTTACCTCATGCAGCATTCTGCGCTGTGCTCTTGCAGTCATTTTTACAGGACGACCACGCCTAGGGAGAGTAGCAACAGTGCTAAACTTTCTCCATTTGTAGACAGTCTGTCTTACCGTGGACACATGAACATCAAGGCTTTTGGAGATACTTTTGTAACCCTTTCCAGCTTCATGCAAGTCAACAATTCTTGAGCGTAGGTCTTCTGAGAGCTCTTTTCTGTGAGGCATGGTTCACATCAGACAGTGCTTCTTGAAACCAGTAAACCCAAAACAGGTGTGTGTTTTTTAATGGGCAGGACAGCTGTCAGCAACACATCCAATATCATCACACTGATTGGAGTCACGGTTGGCTCACTCCTGGCTTCAATTATCTCTGGGAGAAGTCATTAAGCTACGGCCTCACATACTTTTTTCTCCCTGCACTGTGAATGTTTACATGTTATGTGCAATTAAACCATGGCAACATCTAATGTTTGTGTAGTATTATGTTCAGCAGACTGTGTTCTTCTATTATTGTGACTTAGATGATGTTCAGAGCACATTTTATGCCCAATTCATGCAAAACTCCACGTAATCCCAAGGGGTTCACATACTTTTTCTTGCAACTGTATATATATATATATATATATATATATATATATACATATATATATATACATACATACACACGCACACATATACACACATATATACATGCACACACTATATTGCCAAAAGTATTGGGACACCTGCTTTTACACACACATGAACTTTAATGGCATCCCAGTCTTAGTTCGTAGGGATCAGTATTGAGTTGGCCCACCCTATGCAGCTATAACAGCTTCAACTCTTCTGGGAAGGCTGTCCACAAGGTTTAGGAATGTGTCTATGGGAACGTTGACCATTCTTCCAGAAACACATTTGCGAGGTCAGGCACTGATGTCAGATGAGAAGGCCTGGCTCATAGTTTCCTCTCTAATTCATCCCAAAGGTGTTCTATTGGGTAGAGGTCAGGACCTTGCTTTATGCACTGGTGCGCAGACACGATGGAACAGGAAGGGGCCATCCCAAACTGTTCCCACAAAGTTGGGAGCATGAAATTGTCCAAAATGTACTGGTATGCTAATGCCTTAAGAGTTTCCTTCACTGGAACTAAGAGGCCAAGTCCAACCCCTGAAAAACAACCCCACATCATAATCCTCCCCTCCACCAAACTTTACACTTGGCACAATGTCAGGCAAGTACCGTTCTCCTGGCAACCTCCAAACCCAGACACGTCCATTGGATTGCCAGACAGAGAAGCATGATTTTTTCACTCCAGAGAATATGCCTCCACTTGTCTAGAGTCCAGTGACAATGTGCTTTACACCACTGCATCTAACGCTTTGCATGCACTTGGTGAAGTAAGGCTTGGATGCAGCTGCTTGGCCATGGGAATCCATTCCATGAAGCTCTCTACACACTGTTGTTGTGCTAATCTGAAGGCCACATGAAGTTTGGAGGTCTTTAGCTATTGACTCTGCGAACAGTTGGCGACTTCAGCATGTGCTGACACCCCTCTGTCATTTTACATGGCCTACCATTTTGTGGCTGAGTTGCTGTTGTTCCCAATTGCTTCCACTTTGTTATAATACCACTAACAGTTGAGCGTGGAATATTTAGTAGCAAGGAAATTTAACGGATGGACTTTGTCAGGGCTCCCAGGTATGACCAGAGGTGTGTGACTGAAGCAGGGAAACGCAGACCTCAGATATGTTATAAACAATATAATTTATTAACACTAACAGTACAAACATAAACGCAGTGCAATACTAAAAACATAATACGGTGCAAACAAACAAACCAAACCACCCACAGATAACAGTATATACAAGCAAGCGTCGTCAGGCAGGCCGGGTCAATATCAATTGGGCAGGTAGGTACAGGGGGAGCAAGCGGAGAATGGTCGGGGTCACAGGCCAGGTTCAGCAGGTAGCAAGCAGCATAGTACAGAGGGTCAGGCAGAGGGATGGTCCGGGTCACAAGCCAGGGATCAGAACAGGTAGCAAGCAGCGTAGTACAGAGGGTCAGACAGAGGGATGGTCAGGGTCACAAGCCAGGATCAGAGCAGGAGAAGTCAGCAAAGGAAAGGAACAGAAACAGGATGCAGGACAGATACAGGGCCCAGGACAAACACAACACCAAGGCAGAGTCTGCAAGTCTGGCCATCCCTTAAATACACCAGTATCATCAGTTCCAGGTGTTAGCTGGCTGAAAGGTTGAGTCTCTGATTGCTGGGAGCACCCGCTGGCCAGCCCTGGTACTGCAGATCAAAAGGCAGGTGAGTCCCACCATTGCTGGCCAGTCCATTCCTAACAGTACCCCCCCCTCAAGGAGCGGCCTCAGGACGCTCCAAACAGTCCTAGCTGGGCAAAATGTTCCACCGCCCGGGTCTGGCAACTGGCGGGATATCAAAGACTGGCACACCGGGCAGGACTCCGGGCAGCGGCACACACCGGGCTGGACTCCGGGCAGAGGCACACCGGGCAGAGGCACACCGGGCAGAGGCACAGGGCAGAGGCACACCGGGCAGAGGCACATCGGGCAGAGGCACATCGGGCAGGACTCGGGCAGAGGCACATCGGGCAGGACTCCGGCAGAGGCACACCGGGCAGAGGCACATCGGGCAGGGCACTCCGGGCAGAGGCACATCGGGCAGGACTCCGGGCAGAGGCACATCGGGCAGGACTCCGGGCAGAGGCACATCGGGCAGGACTCCGGCAGAGGCACATCGGGCAGGACTCCGGGCAGAGGCACATCGGATTACCAGGCGACCAGCAGCAGGCAGCGGGCCACCAGGCGGAGCAGCAGGCACACGGGCCCCCGGGCGGAGCAGCAGGCACCGGGCCCCCGGGCGGGGCGACAGGCACCGGGCCCCCGGGCGGAGCAGCAGGCACCGGGCCCCCGGGCGGAGCAGCAGGCACCGGGCCCCCGGCGGGCAGCAGGCACCGGGCCCCCGGGCGGGCAGCAGGCACCGGGCCCCCGGGCGGGCAGCAGGCACCCCGGGCCCCCGGGCGGAGCAGCAGGCACCGGGCCCCCGGGCGGGGCGACAGGCACCGGGCCCCCCGGGCGGGCGACAGCAGGCACCGGGCCCCCAGGCGGGGCGACAGGCACCGGCCCCCAGGCGGGGCGACAGGCACCGGGCCCCCCCGGGCGGGGCGACAGGCATCGGCCCCCAGGCGGGCGGCGGGCGCCGGACCCCCCAGGCGGAGCGACAGGTCTCGGGCCCCCAGGCGGGGCGGCGGGCGCCGGACCCCCAGGCGGAGCGACAGGTCTCGGGCCCTCAGGCGGAGCGGCGGGCGCCGGACCCCCAGGCGGGAGCGACAGGTCTCGGGCCCCAGGCGGAGCGCGGGCGGGCGCCGGACCCCCAGGCGGAGCGACAGGTCTCGGGCCCTCAGGCGGAGCGGCGGGCGCCGGACCCCCAGGGAGGAGCGACAGGTCTCGGGCCCTCAGGCGGAGCGGCGGGCGCCGGACCCCCAGGAGGAGCGACAGGTCTCGGGCCCTCAGGCGGAGCGGCGGGCGCCGGACCCCCAGGTGGAGCGACAGGTCTCGGGCCCTCAGGCGGAGCGGCGGGCGCCGGACCCCCAGGCGGAGCGACAGGTCTCGGGCCCTCAGGCGGAGCGGCGGGCGCCGGACCCCCAGGAGGAGCGACAGGTCTCGGGCCCTCAGGCGGAGCGGCGGGCGCCGGACCCCCAGGTGGAGCGACAGGTCTCGGGCCCTCAGGCGGAGCGGCGGGCGCCGGACCCCCAGGTGGAGCGACAGGTCTCGGGCCCTCAGGCGGAGCGGCAGGCGCCGGACCCCCAGGCGGAGCGACAGGTCTCGGGCCCTCAGGCGGAGCGGCGGGCGCCGGACCCCCAGGCGGAGCGGCGGTCTCGGGCCCTCAGGCGGAGGGCGGGCGCCGGACCCCCAGCGGAGCAACAGGTCTCGGGCCCCCAGGCGGAGCGGCGGGCACCGAGACACCAGGCACGACAGTGGGCTCCGAGTCAACTGGTATGACCGCAGGCACTGGGTCAGACATTGGATGGTCTGGCTGGACAGCGGGCATCGGGTCACCAGGCATCAGGTCATTTGGCTCGACAGCGGGCACCGCGTCATCTGGCAAGGCAGTGGGCTCCGAGTCAACTGGTATGACCGCGGGCACTGGGTCAGACATTGGATCGTCTGGACCGGACAGCGGGCATCGGGTCACCAGGCATCAAGTCATTTGGCTCGACAGCGAGCACCGCGTCATCTGGCAAGGCAGTGGGCTCCGAGTCAACTGGCATGACCGCGGGCACCGGGGCAGACATTGGAATCGTCTGGCTGGACAGCGGGCATCGGGTCACCAGGCATCAGGTCATTTGGCTCGACAGCGGGCACCGCGTCATCTGGCAAGGCAGTGGGCTCCGAGTCAACTGGTATGACCGCGGGCACTGGGTCAGACATTGGATCGTCTGACTGGACAGCGGGCATCGGGTCACCAGGCATCAGGTCATTTGGCTCGACAGCGGGCACCGCGTCATCTGGCAAGGCAGTGGTCTCCGAGTCAACAGGCACGACAGTGGGCACCGGGTCATCAGGTACCGGATTGTCTGGCTCGACAGCGGGCATCGGGTCATCAGGTATGACAGCGGACACTAGGTCACCAGGCATCAGGTCATTTGGCTTGCCAGCGGGCACCGCGTCATCTGGCAAGGCAGTGGGCACCGAGTCACCAGGTACGACAGCGGGCTCTGAGTCAATTGGCACGACAGCGGGCACCGGATCAGGTACCGGATCATCTGGATCAACAGCGGGCATCGAGTCAACTGGCCTAATAGGATCGTCAGGCTGGATCAGTTCATCATGCTGGGTAGAGGCATTAGGCCGAGTAGAGGCATCAGGCCGAGTAGAGGCATCAGGCGAGTAGAGGCATCAGGCCGAGTAGAGGCATCAGGCCGAGTAGAGGCATCAGGCCGAGTAGAGGCATCAGGCCGAGTAGAGGCATCAGGCCGAGTAGAGGCAGGCAGGCATCAGGCCGAGTACAGGCATCAGGCCGAGTACAGGCATCAGGCCGAGTAGAGGCTTCAGGCCGAGTACAGGCATCAGCCGAGTAGAGGCTTCAGGCCGAGTAGAGGCTTCAGGCCGAGTAGAGGCTTCAGGCCGAGTAGGCAGGCCGAGTAGTAGAGGCATCAGGCCGAGTAGGCTTCAGGCCGAGTAGAGGCTTCAGGCCGAGTAGAGGCTTCAGGCCGAGTAGAGGCATCAGGCCGAGTAGAGGCATCAGGCCGAGTAGAGGCATCAGGCTGCGTAGGCATCAGGCATCAGTCTGAACCACGGAAGGCAGGCTCACCGGTTTGGATACTGGCAGGATGGTATTGGTTGGAAAGAATTTTCGCTTTTTTCTGGTTTTAACTACTGGAGCACTGCAAGTAAACGCAGGTCTGCAAACGAATGGAGCAGCTGGAGACAGAGAAGAACTGGAGGATGGAACAGGAGAGGGAGCAGTTGCTACAGAGGGCTTTTTTACAGGGTTAAAGGCAGGATAGGTGCAGCGAGTGGGAACAGGGTACTGACATGCGGTAGATAGCCAAGTATACTGGGCTGTAACTGGAGGAGCTGGTGGGAATACAGGAGTAGAGTTAGAAGCAGGACTGGGTCTTTGTAAGCTGACTGAGGCTGGGTGCAACAAATCTGTCCATGTCTGCAGTAGGGGTTGAACAAAGCTGAGCTTACACAAAGTCTGTCTGGTCAATGACTGCACTGCGTTTATACAATCTCTCAGTGTCTGTGGTGAACATGTGGAATAACGCTCCAGAAAGTAACCCACATCATCCTCTAATAACCACACCAGGGACTCTACCTGGTCTGCACTAAATGGTGGCAAAAATTCATCCCTGCATTCGGGGGAACCAGATGAAACCAACTCTGCACAAACCTCAATCAATGGCTGCACCTCAGAGAACACTGTGCCCTGATCTACTAGAACATGAGCGAGCCGTATACATTCTAGCAATTCATCCCGGGTATACTCCTTCAGAGTTTGATAAGCATACATACTCCCTGTCATCAAACACTAGCAGATATAAATACTCAACCTCCTCAAGATCCATCCTTCCCATCAACAAGCCAAGATGGCTTCCCTGTGCAGCCACTTCTGGTCAGGATTGGCCTTGGTGTAATGTCAGGGCTCCCAGGTATGACCAGAGGTGTGTGACTGAAGCAGGGAAACGCAGACCTCAGATATGTTATAAACAATATAATTTATTAACACTAACAGTACAAACATAAACGCAGTGCAATACTAAAACATAATACGGTGCAAACAAACCAAACCAAACCACCCACAGATAACAGTATATACAAGCAAGCGTCGTCAGGCAGGCCGGGTCAATATCAATTGGGCAGGTAGGTACAGGGGGAGCAAGCGGAGAATGGTCGGGGTCACAGGCCAGGTTCAGCAGGTAGCAAGCAGCATAGTACAGAGGGTCAGGCAGAGGGATGGTCCGGGTCACAAGCCAGGGATCAGAACAGGTAGCAAGCAGCGTAGTACAGAGGGTCAGACAGAGGGATGGTCAGGGTCACAAGCCAGGATCAGAGCAGGAGAAGTCAGCAAAGGAACAGAAACAGGATGCAGGACAGATACAGGGCCCAGGACAAACACAACACCAAGGCAGAGTCTGCAAGTCTGGCCATCCCTTAAATACCCCAGCATCATCAGTTCCAGGTGTTAGCTGGCTGAAAGGTTGAGTCTCTGATTGCTGGGCACCCGCTGGCCAGCCCTGGTACTGCAGATCACAAGGCAGCTGAGTCCCACCATTATTGGTGAATTCATTCCTGAGAGAGGGTGTGTTGCACTTGTCTGCTGAGCTCCAGAAAGGCCCGAGAAGCCTGGGGCTAAAGTGCCCTGCCCAGCCCAGGCAGGATGGCGGATCCTGGGCCTGGGTCCAGCGGGGAGAAGGCCCTGGAGGGGCCTAGTACCGGCCTCTCTTTTCCACCAGTAGAGGACCTGGGAATGGCCCCTAGGAAGGGGGAAGTTTATTCTGCCTACCGGGACCGTGTGGCCGCTCGGGCCAGGTTAATAGAGAAGGAGGAAGCCAAGCTCCAGAAGCTGACTCTGGAGCTAAAGAAGCTCCGGTCATCCTACGACCGTGTATGGTCTACTAAGCGGCAGGCCATGAAACCGGACCTGGAGGCGCTGGAACTTCGTGTGTCACAGCAGGGGAGGTATGTGGCGGCGCTGCAGCGCCAGAGCGGCGTCCTAAGCGAGAAGTATCTGAATGAAGCGAGATTTAAGGCTGCAAGAAGCCGCAGTGTTGCGGCGATGCGGGGTCCGGTGGAGGAGGCCTCTTCGGTGGAGGAATTGTCGGGGGAGTTGCTGGTGGAAGGCGAGCAGGGGCAGGTTGAGCCCACAGCACCCTCAGAGGAAATGGCGTCTATCATGGAAGACAGCGTGGTGGCAGGATCATCAGAGTCCCTCCCCCCTGGGCAGCTGCCTGTGGATTGGGGGACCCAGGTGGAGGAGGAGGAGATAGTGGGCGGATTGCAGTTCCTGGCAGAGGCGGTTGCAGAGCTGCGTGGAGCCGACTTCAGGTTTACGTCCGAGGACTCAGAGGAAGAAGCTGAAAGTGATGTCATCCCCCGCAAGCCGGCTAAGCCGGTGGTGAAAGAGCATGCTGCCTTTGTCATGCTGCAACGCATCCCCAAGGACGTGTTGGCAAAGGCAGGGGAGCCACTGGAAGGGGGAGAAGGACTCTGCTGATTGTGTTGGTGAGATGGTTCTGGACACTGGGGTAGCGGGTATAATGCCTGCAAAATTGTCTGAGCTGCAGGTTAGCCCTACAGTCCTGGCTAAGGGTGTTTCCCCTCCGGTGGTGGTCCCACTGGGCCCCGCCCCTTTGGGGGGCATGGTGGCCTCTGGTGTGCAACCAGCAGGTCCCCCGGTTTCTCCTCAGGGGGCTCCAAGTTCTCAGGTCCAGGCTCCTGCGGGTCCGGCTCAGGTGGGTTCTCCTGCTGGTATGGGTGGTCCCCAGCCCCGGGCTCCCCCAGGTCATGGCTCATCAGCATCTGCCCCTTCAGTTGCTGCTGCTGGTGTGGGCGGCTTCCCCTGGTCATGCCCCCTTGATGTTGAGTGCCCCTGGGGCTGGATCGGGGCTCAGTTACTCTGCTGCAGTTAGGGGAGGTCAGGGGTCAGTGGGATCGGCCCGGGCAAGGGCAGGTAACCTACCCACTTCCGCCGCAAGGCGAAATGTTGTTCAGTTGAAATGGTCAGGGGGGGGCCCCCCCCTTAGCAGGAGAGAGGTCATAGACCGCATATTAGAAATGGGCTTCCATGCCGCAGATATTTTTGCGTTTATTGCTCCAGTTGGTACTGGAGAATATGACGTGTCCTTCATGCGGCCAGAATTGTTGGACCTCTTTTGGCAGAGGTATGAGGCCACCTTTGTCACCAGCCCTAGGTGGGTGGGCCTAACCCCGAGGCTCGTCTCTCGCCAGTCCCTGATTAAAAAAATAACGGTGCTGGTGAGAAATGAATCCATCCCTGCATCAGATATTGTGGTCTGGCTAAGCAGATATGGGGATGTGATGGGGCCCCTTGGGAAGATCAAGGATGAGAGGGGAATATGGACAGGTGGGTGGACGACCACCGTCCGCTTAAAGGTGGTTGGAAATGTGCTCCAGCACATTCCCTCTTCCGCTTTTCTAGGGAAGGACCGCCTGATAATTTTTTATGCGGGTCAGCCGAGGGTCTGCCACCGGTGTGGGGGCAAGGGGCATTTTGCGGCCACCTGCCCCGTCATTAGATGTTCCCTGTGTCAGGAAATAGGACACCTGGCCAGGGACTGCAATGTTGTCCGATGCAATCTCTCTGCGGGGAGCTTGGGCATTCATACAACCAGTGCCCGGAGGCCCTCCACAACCTTCCGGTGGGGGAGCTTGAAGCAGAGTTGGATCGGGTAGATGCTGAAGAGGCGGAGGCGGCATGGAGAGAGCGGCTTCGGTTTGCTGTGGCGGCCCTTGTGAGGGAAGGGGAGGTTTCTGTGGCCCCTCCTGTCTCTGTCCCCCCTGTTTCGTCTACCCCTTTGGAGTCCCCTGTTGTTCCCCCTTGTGTGCCGGTTCCTCCTCCCAGGACTAAGAAACAGCTGAGGGAGGCTGCTAAAGGGGCCGGGATGGTTGAGGCTAGGTCTAGTCCCTCAGTGTCTGCTCCCCCCTTGCTCTTGCCGCTGCGGCGGAGTAGGAGGCCCGGTAGGGAGTCCCGTGAGTCCCAAGGTTCTGCTCCGGTAGGGGCTCGGGTGGAGGAGGGGTGGTCCCTGGTGGGTAGGCGGAGTAAGCCAGTTTTGTCCTCAGCAGGGTCGGTGTCCTCTTTAGAGGCGGGGGAGGTGGCCCTGGGGAATAGGTTTGGGGCTTTGTCGGGGGAGGAGGAGGGGTCAAGTGATCCCGCTTCCCCGATGGAGGACGAGGATGCTGGGGGGTCTCTTAAGAGAGTGAGGGACCCTGCCAAGAAAGTCAAGAGGAGGATTAAGAAACGTCCCTCTCAATTATCTTAATGGCAGTTCCCGCTCCGATAAAGGT